AGCTGCTCCAGCCTGCCCCCCTTTCCAGGTGAGAAGTACACCCCCATCGATCTGCCCCCTTTCCTTGCCATCTCCTTCCAGCTGTCACCTAGCCCGTGGCCGCCTCCCCATGAGGCAGAGAAACGTACACAAAGAACACGGGATTTGGATTTGCACAGATTGCGGCTTTAAATCCCGGCTGTGTGACCTTGAGCGGATTGCCCAACCTCTCGGCGTCAGTTTTCTCCTCCGTAAAGTGACTTGGGAGGGAATTAGAGATAAAGTGGAAAGCCCTCAGCCCCGTGCCTGGTACGGCGCGAGTTTGCAGCTATTTTCGCTCCAGCTCGCTCGGGCTGGAGCCCGCCCCTCTCCCCGCCCCCCGGCTCGCCCGACCTGCCGGGGAGCTGCCAGTCTCCAGCCGGGAGTGGGGGAGGCGCCCGGAGCAGCCGACCCGCCGACGGTCTTGCGCTCCGATTTCCTCACCGTATGAAATGAAATTCCACAGGGGGATTCGAGAGGAAATGAGCCCGGGACGCTCCGTGCTTCTCGGCCCGCCGCCCTTCCTGTCTCAGGGACACGGTTTCTAAATAAGGTTGGGAGGGTGAGAGGGCGGGAGGGGAGAGGAAGGCTCAGAGCCACCAAAGCCCCCCTCCCTCGGCCTCCCAGGCACCCCTCCCCTGCACCCTTCACCCCTTTCTTCCTCACTCGGCTTCTGTGTAGGGTCCTGAGGATCTGGAGATCATGCGACCTGGGTTGCAAGCCAATTTTCCTGTCTCATTCCCAGCCCCCTGGGGCTCTGTGCTGGTCCACCCTCTCTGCTTTCCAGTCGCCCAGTGAAGCTACCAGCAGGTGGATTCCTAAACTGTCGACTATGGTCAAGCTATGGTGCCCCTGGGAGCCTCAGACCATCTATAAAATAGGGACGTTCATGCCTCTCCATGTCACACAGTTGTTCTAAGAGTTAAATGAGTTAATGCCTGTAAATCACTAGTACAGTGCCTGACACATAGTGCTGAATAATTTGGTTATTGTCCTATGTGTATGTGTTTATGGAACAGCTGTGGGGGGGGGGCATCATTTATGGGACAACCTGCTTTCTCCAGCAGCCCTGATCCAAGAATCTGGGTAAATGACTTTCTACCCTCTTCCTGAGAAGCTTTTGTCCAGCACTGACCACTGTTTTTCTGGAGTTGTTTTAAAGCATGTTTGTATCCTCCCAGTTCAGTCAATTCTCTGGCGCATGGCAGAGGCTAGATACAAGTTAGAAGAATGTCTGTACTGCTCATGTGGTGCTCATATTCTGTCCTGTATTTTTAGTCTTCTTTTCTTATATTGGCAACTAGATTTAGCTGACGGCAAAAATGGAATCCACTTTTTTTGGTATTTGGCTCTGTGCCTAGAACTGTGCTGGGCACAAAGAAGCTGCATTGTCTCCCATCACCATCATAACCTCTTGGTGAAGGGCTTCTATGAGCTCCTTAAAGAGTCTAGAAAACTGAGGCTAGAACCAAAGTAATAGTTAGAAAATGACAGAACCAAACAAATCTGGGCCAAGCAGAGGCCCTTCAAAGATGGAAGGCAGGGTGATTTTCCCAGAAAAAGTTCCCAGCTGGAAATCAACATATTCAGCAGTATTGGATCTTTGTGTGCCCGTGCTCAGTAATGCATGAGACCATTTGGCCAGATCATATGAATAGATGATCACCATCTCTAGGACCTCACAGGAGGAGACAAAAAATAAACAACAAATAGCACAGTATGGTAAGGGCACAGATAGAGAATTGTGGGTAAATTGCAGTAGAGCAATCTAAGTGTGGAGGGCTACTCAAAGGAGGGTAACCTGCAGGACTCTGAGCTACTCAGCTACTTGGAGTTAGTATGAAGTTGACACTTCTGCTAGGGCAGGTGGGAAAGAGGGTGTGCTTTGTACTGAAGATATACTTACATGGTTTATTAAACAGTGGACTCCTAGAGGTCAAGGACGAGGACCTATACCTCACACAGGGCCTGGCACACAGGGAACATCATTAGTGCTGGGAGAAGGAATACAGTTATGAAATCAATAACAAACCACTCATATGGCACTCTTCCTCTGTGCCAGACACTGTATTACATGCCTTACATTCTTTATTTTATTTCTCACAACACCTCGAGAAAACCAAGGCTCTGAGAGGCCAAGCAGTTTGCCCAAGATTACACAGTAAATGGTGGAGAAGAATGCATGTGTATCTGCCTGGCCCTACACTCTGGGTGCATGGTAGTGTTCTGGCAGAGGAAATTGCTTCACACCCAGCCTAATCCATAGTTAAAGATGACCCTTTTGTGATCCGGACCTCTTATCCCTTGGCCTGGCTTCCCTGTCTCAGCTAGCGTGAAGCAACTATCTCCTTTGAGAGCACGTGAAGAAGCCCCTTCCCCACCAGAAGCTTCTCCTGTCAACAGCTTTTCTTTCTAGTCATGGAACTCATCGCAGGTATTTTCTAAAAAAGAAAGCCAGAGGAATCACATTTCAGTCTGAATGTGGAAAGAAAACAAAGATCACGACTTACAGCAGAGTCTGAACGACCTGGAGCCCCTCAGTCTCCCTCTCATGGAATGGTTTTCACAGCCCCCAATCTGTGCCTGGTGACAGGCATGGCATGTTTGTCTTTGTTACAGAAAACACTTCCCCGAGGGAGTTCCAGGCAGAAGGATATCCATCCTGGGACATGCCCAGCATTTCTAACAGGAAAGATAGGGTACACGTGAATAGGACTTTCAGTGAACCCAAAGCAGGCCATGGGCCCCTCTGCTCTGACTTGAGTGCCTGAGTAGCTTCTCTGGTCTAGCCACTGAGAAGTACAGATGCAGCTACTTTGTAGCTTCGGTAGATATGACTTCAGCTCGCTGTTCGGCAGTTGTAGCGCCCTCCATTTGTATCTAATGAGAGGCTGGGTTCTCATTAACTCCGGTGATGTGTTAATTTTTCAACCTGACATTTTCTGCTCTAATAGATTCTTGTAATGGTTCCTAAATTAAAGGCTGCATTGGACGACTGGCGTTTAGGTTAAAATCCATCACCTAAGGGGGTGGGAGCCATAAACATCCTTTCCCTCCTAAGGAAAACCTCTCATTTGCAGTTCTTTACTAACCCAATTAAGTGCTGAAGTAGTCACCCCAGAGCCTGCTTTTTATTTCCCCCAAACAATCCAACTAATCCATATTCAGTAGCTTCCAAGAAAAGTCTTATTCCAACCACTCATGAAGAAATTAGCTTCTTTGAATCTAGACAGAACATTTAGAACTCACAAAGAGCTGTCTTGATAGAAAATGCGAGAAAGACTATCACCCTGCTTGGTTTTTGAGAGAAAAATTTCACAGAGAAACCCCATAAATATTAGGAATTTACTCTAGAGCAACAGAAGCATAGGAAGAAGTCATGCCACATCCCATCTGCTTATGAATAATGAGTGTTCCATCTTCCCTTGTACCCAAACTAGTTAGAAAACAAAAGCATGTCTACTGTGTAAGGTGGAAGGGAACACTGATCTTGTTTCAAGTTGAGGAATAAGATCCTAAGAGATTAGGTAATTGCTATTAAGTGGCAGAGCCAGACTCCCTTCTTAGGCTACTGTCTGCTAGTCAGCAGAGAAGATCGTCACCACAGAACTCTCGCATGTCAAGGAACTGAAACCCTGTTGCTCCTCCTGTAAATAAATTTAGCAAGCATAAGATGGTACACCGGGCGTTCTTATTTATTGGTGGTGATGGTTTAATGTAAAGATGGGCAACCAAGGACCTCTGCAGGAAGCAAAAAATAATGCAAACAAACTTTGTACCTCCACAGCCTCATTTCATTTCAGGTAAGCCATTAGCAAATGTTTAGTGATGAGTTTTTGTGGACCTGTCACTGAATATTGTGTGTCCTAGGGGGTATGCAGATATGTAAAAGGTGGTTCTTACCTTCAAGGAGCTTGTAGTAACATTGGGGAGATTAAGACATGAGACCAGAAATGAAACAAGTTTTTGATAGTTCAGTGCTTTTTCTTGGACTCCTTTTGCCCCAGGCTCCCCTTGTCATTGTACATAAGGGTCTGTATCATAAGGCTGTTTGTTGTTGTTGTTGTTTGGGGTTTTTTGTCTCTTGCTATCTTCTGAGGTCAGAGGCTGTGTTTTGTTCTTCATTGTGCTCCTGAACAACATAAAACAGTATGGCTTAACCCAGAGAAAGTGCTCAGTAGTTATTCATTGAATAAATAAATAAATAGTTCAGGCTTCAAGTGAGCTGCT